AAATATTCCAACGAACTGTCGAAATCTAGAATCTTCTATAGCCGATAATAACGGACAATGCGGTAGTATCATAGGATACGGCACTCACGCCACTTTATTTCCCACGTGTATCGTTATACGATTTACACTATGTACCATAACTTTTTTTCACATGTAGTATATTACCACCGTAGAAATGTTCACAGTTAATAATCCTGAACTTCATAAAGTAATTAAGACGTCACTACTTCACGAAACATTCTGCGATTTAATGTTTTATTTTGACGCGGGAGAACATTGCACGATGTTACTGTTATGCCCGCTTGCCGCCAACTGGAAGTTGGCTGCAGCCGGATGTGCTAGGTATTTTTGTAGCGGGAAAATGTTGCACCTTTGAAATAGCTATGTGATAAAGTATCCATGTAAAATATGAAACTTTGTTTTTTATATTTAACAATGTCAATGAAGCAAATATAAATATATCTATTTTGCGAAAAAAAACAATTTTCTATAATTAATTCATAAACTGACATTATTAATTATTCCATTACACTAATGGAAACACAAACCATTAGAATCTTTGGCAATGGTTCAAACACTCTATGCAATAATCACCAATAATGAATTAAATAACAAGGAATTCATATCTAGAATTATATTAGAAAGCTTGCTAAGGTTGTGCCTTTACAATGCAATTTTAAAAGTTGATAAATTAATTATAGACGAACATGAAGTCACAGATGAAGATGAGTGATTTTGTTATTCGTAAAAAGAAAATGAAACTGTAATGGTTATATGCTTAGGTACTTTTTATTCACTTTGAAAGTTTCACATATACACGATCATTGTTAACGACGTAATTCCTCGGTTCTTTTCTTATAACTTGCATTTTATACTTTATCCTTTCCTTCATTGCTCTGAAAATATAAATATATGACATTTAATAAAAATTAATATTTTCTGTAACATAGTTATACAGTAAGCAATAAACTAACTCTTTCTCTTTCGTTATAACTTCTAATTCCTCTTGAGTTTTTACTTCGTCATCACTTTCCCAATCGCTACTAGGGTCTTCCTTCCTTTTTTTATTTGCCAGTTCAGGTGGTTCAAAAGGTGATTGCCAGCTTAATTTTGTATCACTTAAATGATCATGAGCTGATTTGCCCTTACCAGTAAACTTTTTGTTTAATATCACAGATTCTTCTTCATCTTCCTTTGCTTTTTCACAAAATGGTAAAAGATTGAAGTCTCTGTAACAAAATTTTTCATTACAAAGAATAATACTATCAAGGCTACATTCTGCAAACATATATGATTTTTACTTTACTGCTACTGTTTTAGTTTTCGAATTGTCCTTTACTTCTTCACTTTCCTGTACTATTAGTCTTGGTATAGTATCAGAAAATGGATTGTTCAATATTATAGTTTGTATCAATCTTGAAGGATAAAGTGGTCTATCATTCTACAAAACAGAGGAAATATTATATTTATATCAATGCTTGATATATTTTCTTGTAAACATTCAATTTACCTCATCTACAAGTAGTTTTTCAAGTTCAAGCATGTTATATATAGTTTCTCCAGTAGAACTAAGAACTAAGAGTAAAGAAGAATTGGGATGCATTGTCATTTTTTCCAGCATTAGCCATAGCAACTAAATCTCGCGAAAAAAACGTAATCTTGTATGAAATTTGTCCTGAAACACATATATCCAATAATTATTTTTGAATAAAGAAGGAATTCATTTTAATAATATAATATGCCTTTGGAGTTTCTTTTACCCATAATTCTAACTCAATACCACCAACAATTGTTTTCATTATAACCTAGTTATAACAAATATATTAGTTTTATTAACGTAAAATACTTTTAAAATCAAATTTATTAAAATTTATTATTTATTATTGTAATTCAAATTGGAAATTATTTAGTATATTAATATAGAAATTTAGAAAGTAAGTATTGTATATCGGTTAAATTTTTAAAAATAGATATACAGTCCATTGAAATACTATTAACTAACACTTATTACTTTACCCTTAGTGGCTGGCTCTTGCATATAAATATAACTCATATTTGTAAGCCTCCTATAATAAAAAGAATCCTTGGTCAATAATATTTCATGTTAAATCTTTAGTCATTTACAAATCAGTCAACAAAATGGTTCTTTTTTCGAATAATCATATAATAAGTAAGTAAAACATACCTTTTACCTCCTTTTAACGTTGGCTTTATTGGCCCAATCAATTCCATATGTCACAGCCCTATTATTTCTGCTGTTTTTGTAGTTTCCAAGTTCCTATAGATATTTCTTCACATTTGAACCTTAATGCAAACCTTAATCATTTACACTCTATATTCAATTTATCTTCAACTTTTATAACAATTACCAAGTGTCCATTCTTCATCTCTTCAATGATCCTTATATTTGCATGTCCATGCCTCACATCCTTCTCTGTTGATACATATGCTGCCCCTTTCTTGTTTCTTTATTCGACATAATATGCGTTTCCTCTTCTCACTGTTTTCATTCCAACCACTCTCTTTTCTTTATTTACCTTAGCTCCATCATTCTGAAACATAACACACTAGCGATAATCATTGACTTTGACTACTGATATTAATATTTATATAGATCAGGAATAGAACATACCTCTGAATCTCAGTGTATTCTCTATATTTAGTTGTTATAAGAGGCCATCACCTAAATTAATTTTATTCCTTTTTGTCTGCCCAAGCCACCTCCAATGTATGAATTTTAGTTGACCATCAAAGATTTCTATCTTGTATGTTATATGATTAGCCAACCTAGAAACCAATAGATATATAACTTACATATTTGTATTGTTGTTTCAATTTTTTCTCGCTATAAAATTTCATTCTTGGCATCTAATGGCTCTATGTTCGTGATATTCCATGAATCCAATATTTTTCTACTGTTGCACGTGCTGGTTTATTTCAACAGAATATTATCTTTTCATAACCAAGCTATGTTATCACTAATAAAAGGTGGAAAAACAATGGCTCATAATTTGCACTAATTAATTACGTTTGTTTGTTTGCAATTTTTTCTCATTTCCCTTGGAGAATAATTAACAAATCACTTAATTTCTGTGATTAATTTATGAACTTTTATAATTGCTTTGTAAAGGCGTACCTTTGTATATTTGTCGTCTGCTAAGTAAGGAAATGAATACTGATTGTCTAATTAAAACCACTGTTTGGGCTGAAATTATTAAAGAATGTAGAAAACTTTATCGGATTTTAAATGAATAAAAGGAGGGGAAGAGAATGTGTGTTAGTTATTTATGTCGTTTTATTGTTTATTTATTTCGTCACGTGGATTTAGGCATGGCGCAATCTATGTTCTTTCTACCTAATCAAAATCATAGATGACACTGATTTGTTTTCAATGATTCTTAATATATTTTAATAAATCAAATCGGCAGTGGAAAATTCACTAATTACTCAATATCTGTGATTAATTTATGAACTTTTATAATTGCATCGTGAAGGCAGATCCTTCAAGAACTTTCCAATATATTTTTCGATATAAATTTGTCCCTAATTAATTAATTATTAATTATTATTCTACGTAGAGTTTGAATTGTTGTCAAATACGCCATTGGTTTTTCATTAATTACTATCTTCTGCGTAATCAATTTATGAACTTTATGCACGCATTATATAAACGATATCCTGGAGTGTCTTCACATATTACTTTTGTTCACATTTTGCTTCTACTTTCGTTTAGTATTAAATATTTTCGCGGAAGATAGTGACGGTTGTCGTTACGAAATCATGGACGCCATCAAACGATAATTTATAACTAACAAATTAGCGTTAAATTCTTTACGAAAATTATATAGGAATGTTGCCTAAAGTTCCAGCTTTCCAATGAAAGCATAAAAGAGAAATTTTATTTTATTTTTTGTTTATTTACAATGTTTTCATAAGCGAAAAATGAGTACAAAATAAAAAATAAATTGAAAAAAACTACCAACATGGACGAGAATCAAACCCCGTTCCTCCAGCATAAGAATTCTCGACTATTACCGTTAAGCTACGACTCCAGTTGAAAATTATTGGAAATAAATCAATAATTAGAGAAGTAATAAAATTTCAATTGCAAATATCTTAAAAATTATTAAATAGTTGCGGCTATAATGATATATATTCTTGAATTGCATGACGAAATCTACAAACCTGCAAAGTTTCAACTAAATCGGTGACCCGAAAAACTTGCACTCTCCTTGTAAGTCTTGCCAGATGAAAATGGTTATGTATTAACCCTTTGTACTCGGCGATTTTTTCGTTACAGGAAAATAGTAATTCGAAGACTTTCTGTCATGAAGTCGACAATATTTCTAAACCGGTAAATAAGAAAATGTATGTAAATTAAGACGTAGAATTACTTCACTTCGATATTCCATGCACCATTGGGTAATTGTAAATTTGATATATTAATTAACATCTAACTTTACATTCTGATTAAATGGCGACTGAGAGATGCCTCTTGAGTGCAAAAGGTTAAGACTTTAGACCAGAGATTCCAAGCGTGCGTTACATTCTCCTACTTCATACATGAAATAGGAAAAAATGATTAGGAGTGGAGGAATGACTTCATTCATACCTAGACTCCCGTGTTTGTGACGCGATGTATATAGACAATTCTCATCATTTGCCATTCACAACTTACTTTCAACCTTCGCGTTAAAAAAATTGGAGAATGTTCTGCACATCTGACAGATTAATACTGGCAATCTTCTGTATCGACAATAAGTCTATAAAATTAGAAATGATATGTATTAAAATTGAAAATGACCTTTCAGGTCTTGACACAAAAATGCATTGAATGGTAAATCTATGTTATATTTAATCTATGTCATATAGTCTATAATATATATCGTTTATGTTATATAAAATATTTTGGTGAAATAATTATGTTTATGTGTTGAAATATATGAAATTTTGTAATTAAATATAATTAAAGGTTTTTTCCATAGCGCAAAATATGTCAATAAAACAATCTTATCAGGTATGTTACACTGTAACATTAACATGCTTGCTATGTTACATTAAAAAATAACACTCATGAAAATTAACCTCAAATACTTATTCGTATATTATGCTTATATTTGTTTTATTTGTAAAAAATAATATAATTTTGAATATTTGTAATAATAGCAACTGGAAATTTTAGCGTTTGTATTATATACCAAGGATTACACGATGGTCAAGTGGAATCGGTGCAGAATTACCACAAGAATATAGGAAGTTTTGGCAAGAATGGAAAATACAAACGCCGGCTGCTGTACACTACATAAAGCAAGAAGGCAAATATGTAAGGGATGAAAACACGCAGATAGTGTAAGTAACTAATTCTATGCATTCAAATATTTTTATTTAATATTTAAATTCATTATTTATATATTATAAGTAACCATACCTTTTATTTTAATGATATTTAATATCTCTAATATGATTAGTAATTAATAATAATATTGATTTCATATTACTGAATTGAATTAATTTTTAGGCAGTCAGTACAAAATGTACCATTACCACTATTATACCCCAAGGAATTTCATAAAGGCATATGGGGAGGTGAAGCTGTAGTACAAGGTTTTACAAAGAAACATATATACGCTCGCAGATACCCTCATTTTTGGTTTCCACGACTTAAAAAGTCTGTCGTTTTTAGTGAAGTTTTAGATAAATATATGAGTGTTGTTGTTACCAATAGGACTATTGATTTAATTAATGAACATTATGGTTTTGATCACTACTTATTAAAGGTATATAAATTAAGTCATAAAATATATTTAAATATCTTAAATATTATTAATCATCCAATACTTCTAATTATTTACAGACACCTGCATGTGATTTGAAGTCTGAGCTTGCACTAAAAATTAAACGTCAAATACTTATATCATTGGCTGATAAAACTATGTATCCAAATGATCCTGTTAAAAGAGAAGAAATTTATAATACATATAAAGAATACTTAAAAGCTGTGAAGTATCATTTTTAATATAACTTTAATATTTTGCGATTTTACAATTAATTGTTATTTTAATAATTATATATTATACATATATTTCTAGTATACACGAGATGAAATTGAATGGTATGGTTTGACATTTAAAGAAGCTTGTAAAAAATGGATTGAACAAAATAAACATTTAAAAGAAGTGCATCCTTTAAAATTTCAATATAGGTCTGAATTAATTGCTGAACTTAAAAAAGAAGAAAGTGAGAAGGCAAAAGAAAATATAACAAAGTATGTTTATAGTAAATTATCTTTTATTTAATACTTCATGTTTACAGAAAAGTACAATAAGAATTTATTTTTGCAGAGCTACAATATGGAAATCAAACTGGAATCCTTTTATCAAATCAGAATAATATATTTATTATATTGTTCTCTATTATAAATAAAAAAAATGAGAGATAATAATATATAGAACAACTTAATTTTATTTATATATTTAACACATTGCAAATACTGGTAACTTCAGTATAGAAAATTAGAATGTTCGAAAATTTTGGTCATTATTATTTTATCATTCTCATGAAATTCTAAATTGAATATTTTTTAACCCTTTCGTTACGGGTGCCGACTAAAGTCGGCGGCCGTGCGACGACCTGTGTGTATGGGTCTCTGCGTTGATCCTTGTTTGAGAATTTACCATACTGAATTAAATTACTAAGAATTATAATTTGATCTAATTATTGGTCTAACTACCCATACAAGACAATCACAAAGTGGCGTTGAAAGACGTAAGTCCGAACATTGACGACTACCGACGTGCAAAGTGCACACTTCGCAGCGCGATGCCCCGTTCAGTAGCGTTATTCCGGCGGTGCGGGCTGCCGTAAGGAAAGGGTTAAAGTTAAATTTACTTACATTTTACAAGTAAATTCTAAAGAATTAACATAAGTATGATTTGTTAGAAAATTTCTAAATATAATGAACTAAAAATTTATTATTTTCAAGAAATAAAGAACTATGATATTGTACATTCCAAATCACCATCCTTTGGCAAACAATTTAATAACGAAGCTATGGCTCTTGTAATGTATGTCATTGTTCCAAAACTACCACTTGGAGCACTATCATAAAAATGTTGACAAACATATGCTGCTCCACCACAAAGGAGATTTCCCATTGCAGTTGTTTCACGTTGATCTTTTGGTTTAGCACAACATAAAGTAGCATCACCATCAACCTTCATCTAATCATTTAAGGTAAATTTAGTGTAAATACATATTTTACTTCATTAATATTGTGTTATATATTAAAACTATACCTGATCATCTAAAAAGATGGCATTAGCTTTGTGAACTAATTGTTCAACAGCAATAAGTCCACCTAGTGAAGTTACTACATTATATTCAGTTACTAAAGTTAACACCATTAAAGCTTCAACTACTAGCTGACGATATTCTGGTTGTGGTATAGTGTTTAATACAGTTTCTACTGCTAATGCAAATTTTAATTCTCCAGGTGTCATTTCCTGTGTAAGATTTTGAGGTAAAATTCTACCTTCAATAGCTAAACCTTGACACTAAAAATTAGAATGTAATGAATGAAAAACTTAAAAATCAAGTGTTTCAAGTTTTAACGGACAAGCGTTAAGATAATATACAGTTAATTAAAATAAGGAAAAAATATACATATATTTTATATTTACATAGAATTCTTATTTATCTACTTCGTTTTATTATCGACAATTAGCAATGCAACTGAAATAAGTGAAAAAAAAATTGTATCTTCCAATGTAAAACGTTACAATTTTTAGTATTATAGTCACTTGTCTGTGAAAACTTTAGATATCTTGTATAAACACGTTGCTTACCCGTTCAAGTACTTGCCATACTCGAGGATAAAAATCTCGTGGTACTCTGTTTAATGCGCCGTCTAATCTACGACGTCGTAACCACTGACCTTGCCGATCTGGTTCTATTTCATTACCATCAGTTTGATCAGGACTTAAGAAACCTCCAATTTGTGATTTCTGATACAAAATATAAGAACTATAATCAAACTATTAAAAACTAATAATTGTCGTATCAATAATTCAATTACCTTACTAACTCTACTAGATTTGCAACTAATAACAGAAAAATTTCCTCGACCAACTAAAAATAAAAATATATTATTTTTTAATTCAAATAAAATTTCTGTTTTATTTCATTAAATAACTTAAATAAATTAATTTGAAGTTAACATTTAATCATACCACTGCTAATAGCAAATTCCTTTCCACTCATAATATGATGTAAAAGATTTTTCATTTCAAATGGTGACAAATTAAGCAAATGTTCAGATGCTTCCTCTCCAGTACATATTAAAGTTCTCGATAACTCAGTAGCCATTACTTGAATAATTAAACCTACTCTGAGTCTGAGCATTTCATGAAATAATTGCGGTTCCGTTCTAATAAACATCGCTAAATAAACAAGTAATTCTTGTGTTAACATAGCAGTAGATTCATCATCTCCATATGCTTGATGAATTAAAGATCGTAATTCATTTTCCGGTAAGGGTGCAACAATAGTGTGTTCATTAGTTGGTGGCATTCCAACTGTAACTTGTTTTTGACGAACTAATAAATCAGTAACTGCTTTGGCTAAATCTTCCACTCGTTTTCCTAACATGCCGGCCGTGTGACGTACAATGCCCCACATTTTTTGTTGACAAGCTTTTTCATATAGATCTTTTAGTAAATCTTTTATTAAAACTGGGTGACCATCTTCTACCATACCAGTATTGAAATATAAGCCTTGAGAATCAACCTAAGCATTTAAATAAAATATTACTATTAAATGAATAAAGAAAATTATTTCAAGAAACTTAGAAACAACTTTAACATGTTAACTATCACATTGGTCATCTGTGATTGGAATTTTTCTCAGTGAGACTATAATGGTTATCAGTGACTAAAGTATTGCAATTATTTAAAATGATTAAATTAAAATGAATATCACTGACTAATAAATTTTGGGCAACATAGGTGATTAGATAATATTATGAAATAAAAAGGGGCACTATTCAACAATTAAAGATTTTAATTAAAACATGATATATTATATAAATGGAATAGTATTGTATAAAATAGTAAAAATTCTATTGTGGACCCCTGGAAGTATCATGTAAAACTAATGTGGCAGTTAACGTGTTAGCTTTTTAACAATGAATAATATTTCTGCTAATATGGAATTCCCAATGTACTTTTGTAGAATTTTAAACAAGTTCTGAGTAACAAATTGCATACTGATATGTAAAATTTGTCATAAATTTATTACATAAAATTCTTCTTAATGCGTTCTATGTTAGTATATTTTAACTTACAAGGTATTGTAAAATATCTCCTTGTTCTTCTAAACTTTCAGTTTCTCGAAGCATGGATAACAATTCTTCAACTTCTGTATCTGCATACTGAGTTTCACCTATACCTCTGTGTCTATGTAATTTTGGAGAATTTGTCCAAGACAATAATTCATCTGTAGGTGATGGTGTTCGATCCAAAGGAGCCGACTGAGTAGGATTGGGAGTTAATGTTGTATCTGTCACTTCAATAAACGGATTTGCATTTAAAACAGCAGAAGGTCTTCTATCTTCTCCTGCCATCCCAAGAATCTCAGCTACAAATTATATAATTACTTTTTTCATTTGTCTCAAAAATTACTTTGCAAATTGCCAAACTAGTAATTAAATTCATTTCAATTTTTATAATGTATTTAAAAAAAAATATGGATATGTTAAATTTCTTGCTTTCGTCATTATAATTTGGAAATTATTTATCAAATGTTAGTACACTTACATTCTTGTAGGATGGTAGGAACCATAATATGTAGGATCACATTGTACAAACGTTTAAGGATCCACTTTAAGTAGCATGCAATCAGAGTGTTAAGAATTTAAGTAATTGCAATATTAATATATAAAATAAACGTAACTTACGTTCTACAGCGATAGATCTCGTTTTCTTTATAGCACCTTTTACAGACATCTTGCGTCTTAAATTTTTACCAGTTTTAATCACCGGTCTATTGAGGAGACCTGTACGATGCGGAAATGCACGCATCAAATGTTCTTCTAGATATTGTTGAACCTTATTAAATACATATAAAATATACATAAAATATTGAATTATATGTTTTAATTTGTACAAAAATATTTTTTACCTGAGGGTTTAATTTATCTGGTCTACCGTCCTCAGAACTTCCTAAGAAACTGAGATTTGTAATACAGGAAGTACTTAAAAAGTCATTTAAGTTTCCTAATGAAACTCGTGTACCATTAATATAGCCACTTTTTAATTTTTTCATAGTAGTTATCATTGCCAATGGTATCTTTCCTTGATCTGAAATAATAATTGTATCATATAAAATGAAAAAATTAATTTTATTGCTTTTTAAGAATAAGAAAAGCAATATTTCTCCTATTATTTTTAAAATATATTATTTTAGAAAAAATTCTATCCTATTTTTAGCACATATTTCAAATCAATTTTTTCCTGAATCATGGTCTAAATCTGCCTGTGGCATACCTAGATGATTATGAGTAGCAACAAGTGTTATGGTTGGTCTGCCGAGCATTTGCTTCCAGTTGATGGTGAGGAAGGCCAAGTTGGTTGTAAAAGTGTTGGCAAGGAGGGCTGCATCGTTTGTCGTGTAGTACTCCTCCGCGTCAAAGTTCTAAGACATGCAACAAACGCGCATACCACCGCACACATAAGCTGTCTCCTTAGAATGTTAGATTTTATATTAGAAAGAAAACAGCCTTTCTTCAATTCCTCTTTTCTAAAACTACTTTATCTTCGTTAATATATTTCAACATTAATTGATTTTGCTCATGATAAAGACAATAATGCTTAAATATCACATAATAAAATTTAATTATTATCAAAACATTAATAATAGCTAATCAAATTGCATTAAGACCTTCCATAGCCACTAAAGCTAAACTTATAACAAAAACAAATGCACGCATGCAGGCAGACATGTTAGATGTTTTTTGGATAATGTATTCGCATAATTTCAGTAAAAAATTAAACTTCAGAGGGAACTCCTTTATTTAATTAAAAACTATATATTTGATCTCTATTACTTTGAAGCTTTGTAATCATGAAATTTTATCATTACAACTTCCCATGTATTAGATGATAAAAAGCAACAGAGATAAAAACTATAGTTTTCAAATATTAAATTACTGTACCTAGATGAATGTTCTTGAGGGGCATGACCACAAGAGGCCGGCCTAACATGTTCTGCCAGCTAGACTTCAAGAAATTAATTTCGCCTTTGAATATGTCAATCATGAGCTCATAGTCCGATGCGATGTAGAAGCGGGTCATGTCTGTCAACTAATGTTTGATGCAAGAACAAGAGGCAACATAAGAAAAGAAATAAAAGTATAGAGAGCAAACAGTTCAATGAGTATCCAAATTCTTACCTGTGGTGTGAATGCAAATATTTTATCATTCAAAGAATATAATTTACTGGTGCTTAAAATTCCTACATCTCTTGATTTACGCCCAGACAATCCTAATTTCTTATTTCGACCTAAAAATAAACACTGTAAATTAAAGAAAGAAATTGAGGAAGATATGATAATTATCTAATAAGTATACTTTAAAGATACCTAAATATGTATATAAATGACTGAGGACTTTTGCTGGTTGAACTTCAATTGGAGCAACCTCCGCAATTGTTTGCACATGAATATCGTGTTGAGCTATTTTTTCTCTAATTTCAGCATCTTCTGCTAAAATTACAACTTGTACTACAACATCTGGTTTTTTTTCACTACATAAACGTCTATTTAATGGGTCCAATTCTCCCACAGCAAGAAAACCCTATTAATTGGGAATTAATTTTACTTAACAAGGAAAATGATTTTAAGTTTTTTATGTGTACTTTTTCCATATTTATATACTTACTTCTTGTAATAATTTTCCTAATATGTAAAGAGACTGAGCCCACATAAATGGACATCTACCTAATGCAATACGTTTTTGACTACCTGGTTCAGCATACTCTGCTGATACATTTGCTGTTTCAACAGAATATAATTCAGGTACTAATTTTATTCCATCTTCTGTTTTAATCATTATTTGTTCTAATTGTTTTGTATATTCTGTTACTGCTTCTTTATTGCCTTGGAAGCAATAATCAACAATTAAATAACAAAAGAATAAAGGCCATTCACATTCTATATTTTCAAACATACGTAATTCCCATGGTTCATAATAAAGTCTATTGTAAATATAATAAATTGGTTAGTAAATATTAACAATATAGATGCAAACAATTTGTCTATATTTTAGTTTACCTATTAAGATCCTCTTTTGGTGTTTTATATCCATCTCGTAAGAATCTTTTACATCCATAATGACCTTGTAATTTTTTGGTAATAGCATTTCTTGTTAATTGAATTAAATTAGGTTCATCTATAGCAAATGCTGGAAAACTAATAACAGATAATAATCCACTATCTAATTCTTTTGAATTGGATTCACGCGGTAACATTGACTGCAATACTGCTTGACATTTCTGTGCTTCATCTGCTAATACATGAATTACTGAGGTAGGGCCACCTCTTGCACCAAATAAGTCCAGTTCATTCATTGCTTCCATTGCAGCCTTTGCCATTCCAATACTGCTAGCATTTAACTCTGGTAAGCCATGGTTTGTTTTATCTCCCCTTTCCCAAATTCCATAATCAGGAGTACAATAGGCTGATTCAATATAGAATACCAAATTTTGAATGAATGCAACCTGAAATTAAATTTGACATATTTATAATTATTGTTAAACATTATTTTATACATAATATATATTAGTTATAATATATATACCTCATCTAAATTAAAAACAATTTGTAAACCAGATGCTGTCATTTGGGCTAGAATTAATAAATAAAGAGATATAGCATCTATTTGAAGATGACCCCATTCTGTATCACCCACAACACTTTGACCGCTAACAGAACTATATTTAGCATGTAAAGCATCATGTGGATTTTGACTGGATTTAAATCGTTCAACTTTTTCTTTCTGTTGCATCATTGCCATTAATAAACCTCTCATTAATTTTACACAACTTTGTTCAAGTTCATATGTTTTAGCTCTATCTTCATCTGCATCAGCAATCTTTTTATATGCCATTGAGAGACCCCAAACAGCAAGAATACAATACACATTATCACGAACCCATGCATGATCATTCTCAGGACTTGCAGGAAAAAGTCCTGTGACTGCATTCTGATGTTTCATAATAATTTTGTGTACAATTCGTTGGTAATAATCCAAACGAACACCAGAATTACTACGACTACGCATTTTAAACGTATATACCGAAATTTTGAAAATATTTCTAATTCTGCTTTCCTAAAAACACATTAAATTTTTATAATTCAATATTATATTTATTTTTCATTGCTTATGGAGGTTAAGTTTAAATTATTTTTCTTAAATACCTTCACAATAATTACTTGAAACTTTTATTTAACTAGTAAAAAGGATATACGAATATGTATAAGTAAATTTTTACATAAAAATTATACAAATTCGCTGTATGCACATTTTATATTCATACAAGCCAAAAAATATATACATACGAACATTTTATATACAATGTGAAACGAATGTCACACACAATAGACCTCTGTATTATTGTTAGAGAACTATAAAACTAAAGTCACGTTCAATATACATACTATATTATGTGAATACAAGCAAGTTATACATATCTTCATTACGATTAAAGAAATAAACTTAATTATGAAACATAAATTAAATATAGAAAAATGCTTATATCAATTTTAGATATTTTATTTTTCTATATACTTTCTGAAATACTATATGTAAATTTAACTTAGTAAATTAATTAATATTATAATAAATTTCTTATAAAAAAATATTATAATAAATTTCTTATATAATTTTTTATTTAATAAATTGATCACTAAATTAATGTAATTAATTTATTTTATTTTTTTACATATATTTGAGAGACATAATATAAATAAAATTTTACAAACTATAGTAATTATCATATAAATGAAAAAACTGTATACATTATAGTTGATGTAAATAAAGATTATTTATTGTTTCTAATGTTATTAATTACATTAACTACAGAACTTTACATTTTTTTGCTCATTTTTTCTTATTTATGAATTATTTTCGTTTAATTTTACGAATTTTTCTATTTTTATTCCTATTTTTTACATTGGTAATTTCATAAAAGTTACTACCAATTTTTTTCCTTTTACTAGCTCTTTCTATGGCCCGTCGTTGTTTACTTGTTAATCTTTTTACTTTTTCTACTAATGATTCTGTTTTACAAGGTATAGAAGAAATTTTAAACACACCACTGCTTGATGTAGTATCTGTGTTCAACATTTCACTGTCACTAGAATCATATTCTTTTATCTCATCATATACACTTTGCAATAAGGTATCTTTTTCTAATGGTAAACAAATTTCATCATCAGAATGTTCTTTATTTACTTCATTTCTATTTTCTAAGTACTTAATTGATTCAGTACTTTCTTTAGCTTCTATTGACATTTCTTCAAATTGTGTATTTTGTTCATTTTGAGTTTCATTGAATTTATTATCATTCGTAGCAGATAAAATACAATCAATTTCTTTTGTATCATTATCTGCTTTATCAAATTCATTACATTCGATGTATAGATCATTTTTTACATCATCACCAGAATATGGTAAACCAACCTTAATTTTTCTAAAATTTTGTATTACATGTAACTGAAATTTAAGTGACTCCTTGTTTGGTACATTTTCAGTGTTATCTATATTAATAGTGTTATCTTCTTCAATACTATTATTTTGAATAGGATGTTTGTCACTTGTTTTTGTTATTGGTTCTTCGAAGCCAGGAGGTGGGACATAAAATGGTAATTTACCACGTTGCCAGTCATTCAAAATCATTCGTGAAACAATAGTGATATCTGGTTCTCCTTTCTTTAATAATTTTCCACTTCTATGTGCTAACTTTTCTAAGAAATCAATGTGATCAACCCATTCCATAATTTTATATGTTTTACGTATATAGTCTTCCTTTACTCGTGATAATACTTCTGGAATATAATCTTCTGGATTTTGAATAAGTTCTACTCTTACTACACCTTTTAAAACTTTTTCCGTATCAGTTTCTGCTGATGGATAAACTACACCTGGACAATCTATTAGGTAAATACGTCCCATTAAAGTAATATATTGCCATACTTTTGTTTCTCCTGCTATTGGTGCTACATTACATACTTTCTTTGACCTTAGAGTATTGATGATTGAACTTTTACCTGTATTAGGATATCCAATAAAACCTACACTGATCTGTTTCTTATCAATATGTAATTTTGCAAACTGACGTAACAAATTTATTAAGGATCCTTTACCAAATGGATGTGTCATAGAAGCATGAAATGCCACTGTTGGATATTCTGCACTTAAAATTGCAACCCATCTTTGTGTTACCCATGTTGGAACAAGATCTACTTTATTTAAAATAAACATTAAATGTTTGTGAGGCTTTTCTGTTTTGAGATATTTTTCTATTGGGAATGCTCTAGTTCCTAAAGGATCTCTGGCATCCAATACTTGTAAAATAACATCGGAGGAATCGATAACTTTATATAATTCATTCCAAATTCTTTTGCTTTGTCCTGCAGACATAATCCAGTCTCTTTGACCTTCTTTGATACTAATATCTGGACGTACAAGATCAACATCCTTAGAATCTTTTTCTGTACTATATATTCTTTCCTTTTCTTCTGCTAATTTTTGTAATTCATCATATGATGATGTTGTTAAATTTGGTCTTTTCCGTACTTTTTTTGGTCCAAAAACATTTTCAAAACTTTCTGTGTCTAATAAATGTACTCTTATATTTGCAGTCTTTTGCTGAAGCAAAGTTATTGGCAATTGTGTAGGCTTCATAACAACATTATAAGGATCTTTCATTGCCTTGCCTAATTCATCTTGAAATTTTTGTAAGGCATTTTGAGAAATAACTCTTGAATTGCCAAACCACCTTTGCGAAGGCTCTACACGAGACATAGTACCAGATGGTTGCCATCCTTGGAATGGTGCTGGATTAATAATTTTTCCTGTACGATCACGTTTTGGTTTTTGATTACGATACATTTGCAACCTTTTAATGGTTGCTTTTGTTCGAACTTTTGCCACACCCTTTAATCCTTCTGTAGGCCGTTCAGGGTTCATACTGTGTCCAGAACGTTTAAATCCCTCCTTCCGAGGCATTTTATTTGTTACATGTGACTTTGTCATTTTATCTGAAAAACATTATATACTTATAATTTGATCTGAATTTATGTTATCAATGGTTTAATTAATACTGGTTTTTATTTTTCATTTTGATTTTATTATGCTTTAAATTTCATTCAATACTTTTAGTTATTTATATCTCTCCATAATTAAATACAATTATTATAAAGCATATTAAATAGTAAAAATTTGAAATTAAATCATATTTACCTTATATTTTTTGCAAATTATTATATTTTATAAATTATTTCTTACGCACATAAAAAAGTAACAAATTTGATCTATTGTAAAGGTTTAATAAAGTTTCGATAAACTTAAGGTTAAGTATATGCACATGTATATCTCGAAACAAGCCTTCACAAAAGGGGCCCCTCACACCGTTTAGTTTTCCACCATCGTTGTCAATTATAAGAGACAAGGATAGATTAGAAAGAGCTAATACTATTCCGAACACTATGTACAGAGGGGAAAGGTGTTTGAAATAATGAAGGTGGAGTGAGGGAAACTTTCTAACTCAGGAGCTTAATTTGTATAGTCTTGATCTAAGGGAATAAGATATACAGTGCTGGACAAAAGTTTTGGCACAGCATGATTGTTGTGGTACAAGTGCTTATAACTACTAAATGAACTGATTTGAAGGAAAAACTTTTTGACATATTCATTTATTATCTATTCTAGTTTTATTACATAGTAGAAGCAATAGTATAAATACATTGATTCACGAAACAATAACAAAAATGTATTTATTGAACATTTTTTGGGTGGACAAAAGTATTGGCACACGATGCTAAATGTAGTATAACCGCATTTGTTTAAAAAATTTCCGATCATCATTTTAAAATCTAGTTAGGTGACACCCCGATTGTCATTTTTAACAACAATCATCCTAAAGTTCAGTCGTCAAGCAACAGGGAAAGTATGAAAAAATAATAATGTCAAGAAAAGCGAAAGAAACGATAAGTGAAGGGAGAAAAATAATACTAAATTTATATAAAATGCGAAAATCTTATAGCGAAATATAACAAATTGTTAACAAAAGTAGTTTTACTATTAGGAGCATTGTAAAACGATTTATAAATCAATCAGATTTTGATAGTGCGAATCGAAGTGGTCATCCTCTCAAATTATCTGTTAGAGAAAAACGTAAAATTATAAACAAAGTGAAGAAAAATCCTAAATTAAACTCCTCGGAACTCAGAATGATATTAAGTAAAGAGTGTTAAAAAAAAGTAAATTCGAAAACTTTGCGGAGATATTAAAAACTACCGGGTATTCTGCTTGTGTTGTGCAAAGAAAACCATACATATCGGGAAAAAATCGAAAGATGAGGGTTGAATTTGCCAAAGAATTTATAACGAAGGATTTTACATTTTGAACCAACATACTATTTTCAGATGAAAGAAAATTTAACATATTTAAATCTGATGGTAGAATACTAGTTTGGGGAAAGCCAAATACTGAATTGGATCTACGAAATTTACAATCGAGTTGTAAAACCTGGAGGTGGTAGAGTTATGATGTGGAGTTTTATGGCAGCATCTGGAGTTGGCGAATTAATTTTTATAGATGATATTATGGGCAAATACACATATTTAAATATATTAAAACAAAATTTATTTAAAAGTGCGGAAAAATTAAATCTTCCACAGAATTTCTATTTCAAACAAGACCGCGATCCAAAGCTCACCGCTTACATTGTACGCCATTGGATCATTTATAATACTTCTCATATCCTAAATACACCACGCCAGAGTCCAGACATGAATCCTATCGAACATATCTGGATCTGGAACGAATTAGAAAAAAGGATTCGAAAATATCATATAACAAGCAAAGCAGACTTGAAGAATGTTCTTTTATAAGAATAGAATAAAATCGAGCCGGATTTTACAAAACAGTTAATAGATTCAATGTCCAAACGATTAAATTAAGTCCTTAAAAGGAAAGGAGGGCCAACTAAATATTAATATTTAATTCCAAATCATTTTTAAATGTTTTTGTTGCCAATACTTTTATTCGCCCATAAAATATTCAATAAATACATTTTTGTTATCGTTTCGTGAATCAATGTATTTATATTATTGCTTCTACTATGTAATAAAACTAGAATAGATAATAAATGAATATGTTAAAAAATTTTTCCTTCAAATCAGTTCGTTTAGTAGTTATAAGCACTTGTACTACATAACCATGCTGTGCCAATACGTTTGCCCAGCACTGTATATACATGTAGATTATAAATTATACATTACTATGAACGACATAAAAATTAAAAGTTCTTGTGCAGTTTCTTTTTGAAGTTATTATTCTGAAAGTTAGATATTTAATGTTGAATTTTGAATTGTGTTTCAATGATTACATAACGAAACCTAAAAATTATAAATTAATTGTTTGAAATATGACAAAATTAAAAGATATTAATGAGAAATTTTATAATTCGACAGTCTACTGACTTGAATTGACTTTTTTCGCAAAATATCTGTATATTCAATCGATTTTGATTTATGTAAAGTAACATATTTAAAATTATTATCTTTACAAATTGAGAATGTTACAAACTTAACAGTTTCATAGTGTTTCTATTCACAGCCTTGACAATATTTTAATATTTTTGTTTCTGATTAAAAAAAACATTTCGTATAATATGTCATGATTAGTTGACTTTTAACTTTATAATTTGATATCTTAGATACTAAAATGAAATTATGATACATGATAAACTATGGTTATACAAATTAATCTTACTCTAAAAGAACAGTATATTTAAATAATATTTGCGTGATAAAGTATTTATATAAATTATATATTATCTTAACATAATTACATTAACTTTTTAATTTAATAAAAAATGCACATGTGCATATGCACATATGTATAAAAAAGATATAACACATTATTAATCTTTTAATTAACATTTTTATATTATACATAAAGTAGATAATATTATATGTGTATATAAACATTAAAATTTTGGTAATATGAAATAATACATTACATACAATTAAGACAATTTTTTATAAAAATATAACTAAAAATATTAATGTAATGAATAAAATGTTCTTAAAATTATTATTATATGTGGAAGAGTTATTGTAATTAAAAACAATTATACCTCTTTCAGATATACTGTATTTTTAAATACATTATAAATTGTAAATTACAGATAGTTATTCATAATCAGTTATATATGTAACTTATCTCATAAATTTATCTATATAAAAATATATTTAATAAGCAAGACTTTTTTTAAGAAGGTACCAATATATTATAAAAGTAGTACAATATACACTTATAAACATATTATCTCAGATATTTCATTTTTCAACATAAATACTTTTAATTAATTAAACATATATAAATAAAGCAACAACACAATTATATTTATTTTTGTTATAAAAAAATTATTTAGATTATTCAGTGTAAAAATACAGCCTTACTATATCCAAATATAGCAGATATCCACTTAAAATGAAAACATCATTGTTTAAATAATGTAAATATTTTCTTTCTAAAAAGAGTGGAAAATTAATTATTTACAAGCATATTTTATAATTTTCTCCATAATTTTCTATTTTATTTTATTTATAATTACTTTATTTATAATTATTTTATTTATAATTTTTTTATTTTTTCTCTGATGAAGTTTTCCATTTCATTACTAAGTTTTATAAATGCTTACATTACTTATAATATGACCTAATAGAATAAATATATTTTATATTTCAATTTTTATCTTTATAATATTGAACCATATAGTTCTTATAATATACTTTATTTCAAAATAAGACATCTGTATCTTGATAATTGATAACTAATATTTTCTGTTTTGATATGATAGTTTTTTATTTCATAATTTTTTTTTTGGTAGTTATATAATTCATCATGAAATCAATTCATTAGTTTATGACATATAATATATATATTGTTATTCAAAGTTTTTAAGGTGATTTGAAATTTATTTTTGTTGTATGTCTAGAAAAATATATCATATTTGATATATTTAAAAAAAAATCTTAAAAATTAGTAAATTAGGCAATTCTGCCCTTGAAGAATAATCTTACTGCTTTAAAAATAATTATGAAACATGAAAATTCAATTCCAAAGCTTGTATCATAGCCCATAGTATGTCCATAGCATCCCCATATCCATAAATTTTATATCTCTTTCAATTATTATTATCAATAAAGGTGAATTTTGAATTATCTTAAAAGGATCACATAAGATTTAAGTAAATCTACATATTATAGACTAATGATATGCACTCAAAATTATTATGAAGTATGTATATATATATTTAACATTTACTATATGCAAATTTAAGTTCTAAATTATAAATTATAAATTTATAATTTGGACAAAATACATATTACAATTGTAAAATGAACGTATATTTTTAAATATTAAATAATTTAAATTTGACACTTAAAAATTATTCAATTATATTTTAATAAATAGAATCCATTGCACAGATAAAATTTTATAAATGAAAAACGTGTAATATAATACTTATATTTTCCATTTTTATATTCTACAATAATGTATGAATATGTAATATATTCTACATTGGTACTGCATATTGTTTATCAACTTTCTTACTAATAAAAATTATACAGTTTTTGTAATGTAGGAACAAAAAGTTATTGTGTTGATACAATAATATTTAGGATGAATTATTATGATTAAAATGGACTTTTATCACAGTAATGTTATATGTAACTGCATATAATTATTTTATTAACTTCATACAAAATTAAAGATATTTGACAAATAACTCTAAAACTTCAAATTTTTAATTATTGTATTTCATATTTTATAAACTAGTTTTCTAATATTTCGTACATTAATTGATAAACGTAATAAACTATGTATTATAACAAATTATACGTTGAATTATGATATAACAAACAAATTTTATTTAAAAAAGTTCGCAAAATGTAAGAATATCTTGCAAAATAAAATAAACAAATTATATATTTATTATATATATATATTAACGTTCATCATCATAAATATGAAAACTGTTATAATATATAAGATATAATAGTAATCTTTCTTTTTTATAAGTTTAGAAATATTAGTTTGTAGGAATTATGAATTTACAACTTACTAAATTCATAGTAATTAAAATTAAATTAAGTGTTGTAGAACACAAATAGATTTATTATTGATACCACGGATAATATATCTTTTTAAATTGGAAAGACTATCATTAAATAGATAGCAATAAGTAATAAGCATATTATCAGGTGTCCAAAAAAGATTGACTTTCCAAATTATTATTATGATGTCAATCATAATAAAAATGTAAAGGTAAGGCAGTTAAGGATGAGTTGATCTTTATATTATATTATCTTGTAAATTTTTTAATAAAAATGGTTTTATGATAGAGTGATTTTCATCATGAATGCAACAATATAGTATTGTTTGTGAATAAATAGTCACATATTTCATGCAATCATCTTTGTCAATCTCTTTCTTCTTATGAATTTATTACCTAATTAATCATTAGAAATAGAAAAGAAAAGAATTATTATTATTGGATTTTTTCAAAATTATTGATTTTGATGAATTATAAGTAATGAAACTGCAATATAAGCGAGTTTGGATCTATTAATTAATTTTTAAGATTTTTATCATTGTTAAACTGTTGAATAGAACATAGATAGAATAGACAGATATTTGTTAAAAAAAGCTTACTTATGAACTTATATTAACTTATGAAAATTTTCTTAGATTATAGGAAGCCTTTTATATTATTTATTTTATGCATATTTCTTGGACACCTAATGTCTCACATAAAAATAGATATGCTGTTCTCATTAATAATATTATACTTTTAAGTATCAATCTAAAGGCAATAAATAATTGTAGAATAATATTTCAATATACATATCTGAAATAATTATTCAATTCTTTTTTTTATAGAAGTATTTGCAAATTTTATTTGATAATTTTTTAATATTATATATTTATGGATTATACGTTATATATAATCCATTCATTTCATATTATATATTTAAATTTATACGCTCATTAAGTTTGTACTCTTTATTAACAACATAAAAGTTATGTTTTTCTCCAAGTAAACCCCATATAACTGCAACATTTTCAATGATTAAATTAAAAGGAATTGTTAGTAATGCTCCACATATACATGCTATAAATCGAAAAATACTGAATCGGTATAAAGAAAATGATTTAATTACTCCAAAAACATACATATAGATATTCATTGCACCAATGAAAGCACATAGGAAATCTATAAATGGTGGGCATGTAATGGGATAAATTCCAGCTAATACAATATTTGAAGTAGAAAGAGGCAAAGTTATCCATGAATAACAAGATATGCCTAAAAGCAGCTTTTTATTCAATGGAATAGCTTTGGAATGTACAACAAGTAATATACCTTGTAACCATCTTTTTCTTTGTTGCACAAAGTCCCACACTGTAAATGGTGATTTTTCCCACATTTCACCATCCACAAAATTAAATGTATAACCCAGGGTAAATGCTTTCATTGCAAAGAAACAATCTTCTGCAACAGATCCATCTAATCCATTGTTGAAGGAAACTTGTCTTTCTGCATACATTTGAGAAACAACATAAGAACCTTTCATACTAAAGAAAGGTTTATGAAACATTGTGAATTGTAACCGTAATTTTCCCATATCATCTGCTACTCTAAAACTGTCTGCTAAAGTAGTAATCCAATTAACAACATCTTCATTCGCATATGTTATCAACCCTTGCCCAAACTGATGTTTTCCATCCAATACAAAATTTAATATTCCACGAATGGAATTTTCAGTTAATAATGTTTCTTCATCAAGATGTACAATCCAATCATTATCTCCTAATTCATTTACTGAATTTTCTAAGCAATATTGTAAAGCACGAGCTTTAAACAAAGCACCACTACTTGTACGATAGTTTGGTGGTACAACAATTTCTTTGATTCTTCTATGAAGCTGTAATCCAATTGGTTGATCACTAACTACTTCTATTTGAAAGTTTTCCAAACCAGTTTCTATGCACTTATTTAAATTTCTTTCCACATTTTCTTTCACTAATTGTGGGTAATCTCCACGTGTTACTATTCTAATACAAACAAATGGTGCAAGTAATGGGGAACCTTGCAAAACAACTTTATCTGGGAATACATTATATATTGTTAATCCCACAAAGTTAAACAAAACTTGAGGGAAAGAAAGAAATGTAAATGTTCGTAGCAAGTATAATGTGAGGGCACCAAAAAATCCATATTGGACCCATGGATCAAATGTTTCCTTTTTATTATCACTCCAGCTAAGTCCTCCAGTAATCAGTTCAAAAATAATTATGACAATAAGCATTAAACAACAGTGTAAGATATGTTTTGTAATACTGCTCAACATCATTCCTGCAAAATAAAATGAAATAAATTAGTTATTATAAACATATTACTTTAAAGTATAAGCTAATATGAATAGATTATTAATTATAAGTAATTAATAATTATAAACATATATTTTATATGAATCCAAAATATCAATAACTTTAGTATAACATAACTTTTGAATTTAATAATTATTTTTTAATAAAATGTGAGAATATTTTCATATAATTAGCTGTTTAAGAAATAATAAATGAATAATTGATTAACAATTATAAAAAAATAAAGCAATATTTGGAAATTAAATTAATCTTTACATAAAAACACATATTGAGATAATACTGAGTTATAAGTAATGATTAATAATTTCTATTATTATTTACATATAAATAAAAAACAACTTTCATGATCATAAATATAAATGTGTTTAAATATTTTTTAAAATTATATATTGTATTCAACGAGTACTGATCTGTAGTTTCTTATACATTTCTTTCCATATTTATTTACATTAGCAATATCATTCTTTTTTGTTTCTGATTTCTATTTCCTTTATATCAATTTAAAATGTTAATCTCTATGACTTTATCATGACATTAAGATATCAAATCTTTAAGAAAGTATTCTAAAATCTTGATTAAATAATGAACAATTTCAAATTTTGGTTCAAAGGAATGATAAATTAGTGATATATGTTTAAAATGTCATTATTTAATTATTTAATTAATTTATCAAAATGTTATCTTATTTATATACCTTTTTTATGCAGCCAATATTAGTAAAACAAACTGTTAAAAAAATATATTTCTCGGTTCATTGCCCATGGAAATAAATAACGTAAATGAATAACAAAAATAATAATCTATCCAGTATGAACCAAAAATATTTTCATAATTTCAACAACGCGTCACGAACATTGATTTCCGTTGACTCAAAGAATGACTTAGATTCTAACATTCTTCGATTGTTTTATACGGGAAATGACTACTATCAATACGAGATAAGAAAATCAAATCAACCTATGAAATCAATCTATAAAATTGTAATAAATATCGAAATTTGACATTAAGGTAGTACCAGCTCAATAATAATGCAGGCGCCAATTCTTTCTTTTTTGAGTATTTTTAATGTCTAAAATAAACTCCTATCATTGGTTAATACTACTTATATAAATAAAATTAAATACATAATTTTTCTAATATTTTTACTATTTTATTATATATGAAAATGTTGTTTATTTGTATATTGCTTTTGAAAATGAATAAATGCAATCACAGATCATTGAAAACATTGCAACAATTTAATAATGAAAGTAAAACAAGAACGAAAACTGATCATATCAACAAAAATCTTCGGTTGGATTTCCAATGTATATATTAAAATCATTAAATAGTTATGTTAAGAAAATTAAAGTAAATTTTAAACTTTAATTAATATCTAACTATAAGTTAACTTACCGATTTATTTAAATATAATAGTAAAAGTTATAACAAATATAAATAAAATAATATTTAATTTATATAGAGTAAAAATGAATGATAATTATACCTTCATTTAATAGAAATTTTTGTACGTTGCAAATATTACATATCAATTTTTTCTATTATGTAATTTCATATTATTACACAAATTAAAATTATATAAGGTAGAAGCTTTATATTATATTTATATACACATTAGATGGCATTTCAGTAGCTATCAAACAGATGTTTCCTTTCTGTCTTGTTAGGTTTTCTATGTTCTTTACCTTTGATCAACGAGTCGAAGTGAACGTACTTTTCTTCTTAAGCGTGTAACACGTTTCGTGTCGTAAGACTTAAAGGTAAATATCCATATTTAACGGTAATATTTGTTAAATAATATTGTGAATTTTAAGTATACTATATAATTATACATTAAATAATACAATTTATTTATAAAATAATATATTATAATATAAGATGATACACGATCCAATTTATCGTTCAGTGTTCACGTGCGTCAAATTTTTTTTTATTATGATACGAAGTTTTAATATTTATTATTAAGATCGAATAATTTATTATAATATTAAGAAATGGGATAACATGTTTATTTATTTTCTAAATTTTAGTATTTAAATGTTGTTTAATTGTCTACTGAATAAAAATATTACACATGTACTTACAATTAGTGATAAATTTGTTAGCATACAATCAGTTTTAACCTATAGTTAATAATATATAAAATGTAAAAATAGTATTCAACATAATGAAACGTAAAATGTTATATTTAGATTCACTTTGATCATAGTATATTTCCAATGTTATTTTACTTAATGTCTAATGTTATTTTCTTTTAAAAACTTATGTATATGATGATTTAAATATTCACCATCTTTCGACTGAAAACTGTGATGGTAAATTTCACTGAAAATGATTAATTAATATATGTAATGAAATATAAATTTAAAACAGAATTTGAAGAATATTTTTTATTTCAGAATGCGTTACGTGGCCGCTTATCTTTTAGCAGCTTTAGGAGGAAAAGTTTCTCCTAGTCAAAACGATATTGAGAAAATTTTGTCATCCGTTGGGATTGAAGCAGATGGTGAAAAACTTAAAACAGTCATTACAGAATTAAATGGAAAATCAATTGATGAACTTATTCGTCAAGGTATAGTTCCTTTGTAGATTTTAATACTAAATTAATATTTAAATAAATACCGATGTGAAATATGTTTTTATTAATACTTCAGCATTTTTATTATGTTTCATGCTAATATCAATTAAGGAAATGATTAATTTTATTTCTTTTAAATATAAAATAAGAGACAATTTGAAATTTTCATTGAATTAATCAAAAATTATTTTTTTTTTTTTATTGATACAAAGAAGGAAAATATTTGATATTTTAATAAACTTAGTCCATATTTTACTAAAAAGATTTTTAATTTTTCCAGGATGTGAAAAATTATTATCTATGCCAGTTGGTGGTAGTGTAACTGTTAGTACAGATGCAGCACCAGCTGGAGCTGCTGCTGCTCCAGTTGAGGAAAAGAAAGGTAAGTATAAATGTACATTATAGTAAAAAATTATTATAAAAATTATTAACGTAATTACTTATTCACAGAAGAGAAAAAACCAGCAAAAGAGGAATCTGAGTCAGAAGATGATGATATGGGTTTTGGTCTCTTTGATTAAAACAATCAATGATATCTGTATAATAAATTTTTATAAAACATGTATTATACAGTTTTAACATAATTACTTGAAATAAATTGTATTTTTAATTTATTAATACTATATCTATTTAATATTAATACTTATTTATAAACAAGAATATTTTATGTCTAAATCGTTACTAGTAAGGATTTCAAAACGATTTTTTGAATAAACGTTGTAGTACGTTGTAGTAAACCTTGATAATTTGTTTGCAATTTAAAGCGTTAAATTTTTGTTAAATCATAAGATTATGATAGAATTTCTGATCTTGTAATTTTAATAAGTTGTTGAAAAAGAAAATTGAGAATTTGAGGGTTTTAACGTGAGTTAATTTGAATTTTACATTACATAAGGAAAGATGCATGTATGAATGTACGATAGAAAATATATGCTACATATATAATCGTGCGCCGTTGCGGCTTCATTCACGGTAAGGAGTGGGGGATGAGAATTGTAGAAAGGAAGGGGTGGTGTTCGCGAGATTTACCACAAAATCTAGTTGTGTGTATTCTTACGCTGATGAACATTTAAATCAATGTGACTATAACAATAATCGTAAACATTCGATATTCTGTTATGTGTTTTGCATAATGTTACTATTTTGATGCGTTTACAAACGTTTGGCAATATCAGAATATAGGATCGATCGGAACACTTTTGTACTTGAGGAACTATTTTTAGACAGAGGGGCGGTCATTGGCGGCCATGATGGGTGTCAGCGGCAAGTAGTGACGGCATTCACTTTGCGTCAGTTGGTTTTGTGCGCTGATGGTTGGACTGAGGTTTTCTGGTTGAGAAGCGCACCATAAGCCAAAACAGTTGTACATAGGAACGATAGACAGCCGCGATAGATTTTTGATTAGGTAACCGCGGCTGGAAAACCTCGACAAATTTTGAAAAATATCAGAAAAATGACGCAGTTACTACCCATAAGGTTTCAAGAACATCTTCAGGTAGGTGACCTGCTTTCGTACCCGGTTCTTTTATTATTTCGACACGTCGTCAAATATCTGTTTTCACAAACTGTATTTTCAATTTCATTGCGGATTTCTAACGTTTTTTTTTGGTAAGTCTCGTTACTACCACTTATTATTCTAACAAAAAGACGTAAGTTCCGTTAAAATCGTTTTGAATTGATATTACTTTGACAGGTATAATACAATCGCATGTGTCTTTATTTGTATAAATTTTAATCAATTTGAATATACGTTCGTAATAGAATACGTAGAGGTTAATTAATCATGGTATTATTCTATGTGGCAATGTTGGCGAAAAAAATAAATTGATTTTTTTTTATCAACGAGGGCCACGTCTACTCGTCATATACGCCCCTTATTTCCGTCTTTATATATCATGAATTTTCTAATTAAAATATTCGTTATTTCTTGACTTTTGTAATAAGTGATAGTGAGTTGCGATTTTTCATGAAATAAATTTGAGTGGAATGGTGTATCATTATATATTTTTTATTTTATTTTTTAGATAAACTATATTTGACTTATCTATTCCTCTTTACCTTATACATGTTCTTTTATACATATTCTTTTTAAAATTAATTTTTAGTGGAAAATGTAATTTAGCTCATTAGTAACAGTTTTAATGAAACCAAAATAGATATGGGATATTTTTATATTATATCAGTATATCAGTTATAACTTTTAAATATTGTTAATAAATAAAATGTTCAGTTTGAAATAAAAAATTTGATTATACTATATTAGAAATTTTTCTTCGTATCAAGTATTAATTTTGATTGATTGATATTTAAAACATTAATATTTAAATATTTTTCATAAAATTCTAGTTATAATAATTAATGTTACCTTCAAAGTACATTAAATATAAAAAAATCAAATTAAATAAATGCTTAATAATTTCACAATTTATTGTGTTATTTGTCTTTCTTATAGCTTACAGCTGTTGGAATTAATGCAAACAATGTCAGCTTTAATACTCTTACTATGGAATCAGATAAATTTATTTGTGTTCGGGAGAAAGTTGGGGATACTGCACAGGTAGTTATTATTGATATGAATGATTCTGCAAATCCTGTCAGAAGACCTATTTCTGCAGATTCTGCAATCATGAATCCTGCAAGTAAAGTAATTGCTTTAAAAGGTAATAACTAATGTTTTTTACATAAAGAATGTGCAACGTGGTAATAGACTTATCATATTTTATTTTTATTATTAGGAATGAAAACTCTTCAGATTTTTAACATAGAAATGAAATCAAAAATGAAAGCTCACACAATGACAGAGGATGTAGTATTTTGGAAGTGGATATCGTTAAATACTTTAGCATTGGTAACAGAGACTGCTGTTTATCATTGGTCTATGGAAGGAGAATCAACACCAAATAAAATGTTTGACCGACATTGTTCATTAAATGGCTGTCAAATAATTAATTATAGAACTGATCCAAAACAAACATGGCTATTATTGATTGGTATTTCTGCCCAGCATAATAGAGTAGTTGGTGCTATGCAACTTTATTCCGTTGAAAGAAAGTGTTCTCAACCAATTGAAGGACATGCTGCTTCCTTTGCCCAATTTAAAATGGAAGGAAATGCAGAAGCAAGTAATTTATTTTGTTTTGCTGTTAGAACAGTACAAGGTGCAAATCTTCATATTATTGAAGTTGGTCAACCTCCTGCTGGTAATCACCCTTTTCCAAAGAAAGCAGTGGATGTTTTTTTTCCACCAGAAGCTGCAAATGACTTTCCTGTTGCTATGCAAGTCAGTTCAAAGTATGATGTTATATATTTAATAACAAAATACGGTTATATACATATGTATGATATTGAATCTGCTACTTGTATATTTATGAATCGCATATCTGGAGAAACTATTTTTGTCACTGCACCACATGAAGCATCTGGTGGTATAATAGGAGTAAATCGGAAAGGCCAGGTATTATCTGTATCTGTTGATGAAGAAAACATAATTCCATATATAAATGGAGTACTGCAAAATTCTGAACTTGCATTGCGAATGGCTGTAAGAAATAATTTATCAGGAGCTGAAGATTTATTTGTTAGGAAATTTAATTTGCTTTTTCAAAATGGTCAATATGCAGAAGCAGCCAAAGTTGCAGCAAATGCTCCAAAAGGAATTCTTCGAACACCGGCAACTATTCAACGGTTCCAACAGGTACCAACTACGCAAGGACAAACATCGCCCTTATTGCAATATTTTGGAATACTTTTAGATCAAGGACAATTGAATAAATATGAATCTTTGGAATTATGTCGTCCAGTGCTTGTGCAAGGTCGTAAGCAACTTCTTGAAAAATGGTTAAAGGAAGATAAATTAGAATGTAGTGAAGAATTAGGTGACTTAGTGAAGCAAGCTGACCCAACTTTAGCGCTTAGTGTTTATTTAAGAGCTAATGTCCCTAACAAAGTCATACAATGTTTTGCAGAAACTGGTCAATTCCAGAAAATTGTGTTATATGCTAAGAAGGTTTCTTATACCCCTGATTATATATTTTTGTTAAGAAATGTCATGAGAATTAATCCAGATCAGGGTGTAGCATTTGCCCAGATGTTGGTCCAAGATGATGAACCATTAGCTGATATTAATCAGATTGTGGATATATTTATGGAACAAAACATGGTTCAACAGTGTACAGCATTTTTATTGGATGCTTTGAAAAATAATCGGCCAAGCGAAGGAGCTTTACAAACTCGACTTTTAGAAATGAATTTAATGTCTGCTCCACAAGTTGCTGATGCAATCTTAGGAAACCAAATGTTTACTCATTATGACAGAGCTCATATTGCACAATTATGTGAAAAAGCCGGCTTATTGCAACGTGCTTTGGAACATTATACTGATTTATATGACATTAAGAGAGCTGTAGTACATACACATTTACTTTCTCCAGATTGGCTTGTTGGATTTTTTGGAACATTATCTGTTGAAGATTCTTTGGAATGTTTGAAGGCAATGTTAACTGCTAACATAAGACAGAATTTACAAATATGTATCCAAATAGCAACAAAGTATCATGAACAGTTGACTACTAAAGCATTAATAGGTATTTATAATTTGGTGTTATTTTAATCATATATTTGTATTATTTATTATGTATTGATTTATTTCTTTAATATTGTTATTAGTAATTACTTACTACTTTTAGATCTATTTGAAAGTTTTAAGTCATATGAGGGACTGTTTTATTTCTTGGGATCTATTGTTAACTTCAGTCAAGATCAAGAAGTACATTTCAAATACATACAAGCAGCTTGTAAAACTGGACAAATTAAAGAAGTTGAACGAATTTGTAGAGAAAGTAACTGTTACAACCCAGAACGTGTAAAAAATTTCCTCAAAGAAGCAAAATTATCTGATCAGTTACCTTTGATCATTGTTTGTGACCGATTTGATTTTGTACATGATCTTGTATTGTATCTTTATCGGAATAATTTACAAAAATATATAGAAATTTATGTCCAAAAAGTAAGTTTTTTTATTCATATATATTAAATTTAATAAACATATTTATTTAATATTCATAATCATAGTGAATTTTATAATATAATTATTAACTATAAATTTTAATTTATTACAATCATGGTTTAATTTTAGGTAAATCCGTCACGTTTACCAGTTGTAGTGGGTGGTTTGTTGGATGTAGATTGTTCAGAGGATATAATAAAAAATTTAATTCTTGTGGTACGTGGTCAATTCTCTACTGATGAACTTGTGGGAGAAGTTGAGAAAAGAAACCGTTTGAAGCTTTTACTTCCATGGCTGGAATCTCGTGTACATGAAGGTTGTGTTGAACCTGCAACACATAATGCACTAGCAAAAATATACATCGACAGTAATAATAATCCAGAAAGATTTCTTAAGTAAGTAAATATAAATATATTCTAACATGAAAAAAGTATATTATGTAAAATGTTAAAACTAGTCACTTTATTAAGTGATTTTAATTTTACAGAGAAAATCAGTTTTATGATAGTAGGGTAGTAGGAAAATATTGTGAAAAACGTGATC